CTATAGCTTCCACAACACTACCTCACACCTTTTGCTTTTAATTCAAACTGTTAACAAAGCCTTGGGTGAACCAAAATGAAACCAGTTTCCAATGAAGGTCCACGCTAGAACGTAAATGGCTACAAATAATCCTTTAACTTCAAATTTCAGATAGAAAATATGAAACAAGAATGTTGCCCATATCTGAGAATAAGAAAGAAACAGAGGGATAGAGACAGAGAGAGGTGAGAAAAAGCAGAAAATTGCTAGCATTGCTTCAATAGAACCCACTAATGGTATATAACATAAATTCTAATTTCAAGCAAAGTTATGGCTCTTCACCATGCAAATGTGTTAGATAAACATAAACATTGCTTGAAACTGACAACAATAGAATATGAACTATCTGGCCCTTATTTGCTTCAAGGTGAGAATTTTTCCTCCAATGAAGATAAGAGCTTTTAACCTAGACTCTTCCGGCTTCTTTTCATGCAAGACAGGTTTCAATAGGTTTTCCAAACTTCCCTTATTAATAATAGATTCATCCTTATAATAATTATATGAACTAAGTTGCAGTCATGAGAACTCGACAGGATTTCTCTCAAACCATTATTATTCTTAACAATAATTTTTTTGAAACAAGGAAGAGAGAGAAGAAGAAGAAGGATGTAAATGCCAAAGGACCTCTCTTCGCCAGTGTGTGCAAAGAGAAAAATGCAAAAAGAAGGTTAAAGTGTCCTATGGATTTGGCCCAAGGGAAGTCTTGACACCAATGATAAAATTCAAGCTAGTAATACATGTATTCAGCTGAATTGATGTATTCTTTGCGAAGGGCATACGAAAAATGCTAACAGTATTTTCTTGTGAAGCTCTACTCCATTAGACCCCAAGGATCAGGATAAAGAAAAAACAACCGAGCAACTGGAGATTTGTTTGACTGGCGAGGAGTAGAGGAATCTTTCATGATGATTCAAGAAGAAATTTTAGTCTATTGATTCTGCAGTGGAATGTTTTTCATAATTTCATTGAAAGTCGTGGAATGTTCGCTAAACCTAATAAAAGGTTCTGTATATGATGAAAACAAATGTTTTTCAGTTGTAGGAAGTCCATGAAGTACCTTGCACCTGGGATCTTTCAATTCAGTTGGATTTAGAAGTTTCCCACACTTTTCACACTGATCACCACGTGCGGAGTCATACTCACAACCTGGAGTGGGACAGATGCCTTCAACGAGCCGATCGGCTAAAAATCTCTCACAGGTATCACAGTAAAGCTGAATTATGGGTAGAATAAATAAATAAATTCTGTGCGTGAAACCAGTGAACAGAAGTAGAACTCAAATGATAAATAATTTTATACCTGTTGCATCGTGTTTTCAGAAAGCCAATTGTTCTCCAGCAGTTTTCCAAATATTGCTTGACAAACTTCAGTTTGCTGTGGAGATGATGTGCGCCCAAATTCATCAAAACTAATACCAAACCAATTATAAACTTCTTTATGAATTGCGTGGTACCTGACAATGGAGAAATAGTTAAATAAGGTCCAAATCATTCCGAGACATAGCTCACTTCTAAACAGTAGTGGCATTCAAGAGATAAAGAGAAGGATTGCAGGGCACCAAAAAGAAAAATCCATTCTAACCAGTCGATTAAATGTACAAGTACATATAATTCAGCCAAATCAAACCATAATACAAGGAAGGAAAAGATAAACTTTAAAAAGTCTCCTAGAAATTACATGCACGCATAACGAGAACCGTTCAAGCTAAATTGAATACGAAGAAACATCCATAAAGTGAGTGTGAATAAAGTATCCGAATCCAGAAGACAATACCCAAGCTTGAAATCCAGATTCCTATTCAATTTCTAAAGCCATGCTCGTGAAAGAGTGGAGAGAATTCAGAAATTGTAGCATCAAGCGAGCACACATTATGGACTTAATGGGTTAAAAAGAAGCCAAGGAAATTATTCTCTAGAATCAGTGACCGCAAATACTCAAAAAGACATGACGAACCAAAACCTGAAAAAAATCTTACTTGTCACAAATCTCTTTAGGAGAACATTTCTCTTCCATTGCTTTTGTCTCCGTTGCCGTTCCGTACTCATCGGTTCCACATATGTAAATAGTATTATAACCTCTAAGCCGACAGTACCGAGCAAAAACATCAGCACTCAACACACCTGCACAAACAAAAAAAGCGCTTGGTAGAAGTAAAACAGGACACTGAAATCAACTATATACAAAACATTCAATTCAATCTTTTACGATCATAACAACAATCCGCATCACAAATATGAGCGCATATAAAGTAAAACTCAGACCCAGCATAATTCCTAAAAACACCATCATATTCAACTCTTAGAACCAAACAGGAACCAATTCAAACTCAAACGTTCAGAAATGCAGATAAACAACACTATCCTCAATCAATCAGACACGGAAAAATAAATAAACAAGTGAGAAAGAACATTACAGCCAATGATGTTGCCGAGGTGAGGAACGTTATTGACGTACGGAAGAGCGCTGGTGATGAGAATATTCCTCTTTCCTGGAATCGGAAGTATTGTGGCCTTGGTTCCGCCAGCGGCAGCGTCGCCTGAGACGTCTCCCATCTCTATTAATCTGCCTGAAAAATCAAAGGTTTGTTCTGCAACAATGAATTCTTCCTCGTTTGGACACCTCAAATGGCGAGAATCGGGATGGTGGATAGAAGAAAATGGAGAATTTTAGAGCAACTCGGAAACAACGACGGCGTTGACAGGTCGCAGTGGGCGCTTGAGGAAGTAGGGTAAACTGGTCTGTGACGCACTCCTTTTGGCTTTTTTTTTTTTTTTTTTCTCTAAAATCTTTTGAAATATTCTGAAGAACCTACAAAATGGACAAAAATTGAAATAAAATAAATATAAGTGATATTATTTAGGCTAAACTAATTATTAAAAAAAAAAAATCCTTACTTTATCTCAAAAATTATCCTAGACTAAAAAATCAAAAAATAATTTTTTTAGAAAGTTTTAAAATATTCTTTATACGTATAAAAAAAATATTATGATTAAAATTTATGAATTATTGATATATAAATTTATATATTTATCGCAAAAATTATTTTAAATTTTTTTTATAGGAGTTAATGCTATTTTTAAAATTTCACAAATTTTTTTTAACAAATATTAACTATAAAAGTAATCTTTTAATTTTTAAAAGTTAATAGAATATTAATAAAAAAAAATTAAAGTTTAAAAGTATTTTTTAATTAACCATTTAGTTTTTTTTTTTTTTTTTTTTTTTTTTTTTTTTTTTTTTTTTTTTTTTTTTTTTTNTTTTTTTTTTTTTTTTTTTTTTTTTTTTTTTTTTTTTTTTTTTTTACTATTTCTCTTCAAAATTAGTATTTTTTAGATTCTTTTTCCATTGGAGAGGTTATTAAAAATTTTATTTTTAGATGGATTATAAAATTGATTAATATTTTTATTAAATTAGCTTATTATTTAAACCATCGTAAATTAATGAGAAAAATGATATAACAATTGATTTGGTAATTAATTGTAACGATCTTTTTTAAATGAAATAAATGATAATGACAATCTTAATAATAATACGTATACATTTTATTAATCAATTAATTTTTTATAACAAAATTAATGAATAAAACATATTCATATTTATTATATTAAAATAATATAATTATAGGATCCACCTAACTATAAAATTTATAAATATATTAACATTTAATTGAAACTTGTAAGGAAGACACTAATATTCCCTTTTTTTTATTAATATGAATTTTTTACGCTTATTAATAATATTGTAATATTAATAGAATTTTTACGTTTATTAATTAATATATTTACCACTCATAGCTCAAGGGGTAAATATGATATTATTTATTTACTATTTTTATTATATTATAAAATAATTGATCAAATATTAAATGAGCCTGCAAAATAATTATGAATAGAACTAACAAAAATGAGTATGCAAATAATTATGGATAGAAAAGCGAAACTATATTAACAATAAATTTAGATTTGTTCGGTTTGATCATGATATTTATTAATTAAAAAGTTTTTATTTAAAATAATAATGTAAAGATTATTTTTATAGATTAATTAGAAAAAAAAAATCCATTGCAATAAAATTACTATTTTGAATATTATTTTGAAACATGCTCTGGTTTAGGTTTTATTCAAAACACAAATCAAAATACGTAAAGATATATATATATATATATATATATATACACGCTTGTTATCAATAATAATAAAAAATAACAAATATATTTAATAGTTTAATAGTTCGAGTCAAAATTTAGATAAATAAATAATTATCTATATTTTTATTTTATGATTATATTATTTATTAAATATTACCTAATTCATTGTCGTTTACGGTTATAGGCATTTTGATCGACTCCAAATTTCCAACAATATTCTTTAAAATTATATTTTATGTTTTTTAAAATTTAAATTATTATATTTTAATCCTTATTTTTAACTTTCATGTTTATTTTTAGTCATTTTTGTTCTTATCTCTATTTTACTTTTAACAAAGTATAAAAAATATTAAGAGGCAAAATATATAAAACCGAAATACATCAAATTCATACCAAAAATTGAAATAAGAATTCAATACCTAATTGCCCCAACATTCATCTATCTACATTCCTCGAGACCGAATTCTATTTCAAAATTGCAAAGCTTGGGTACGTTACCTACTTCTTAAATTGATTTTAAAAGTGAAAACTATTTTCCCAGACAAACACAGGTCGTTTTAGGATTCGTCCTTGTTATTTACTTCATAGAATAATTCATAAAAGATCGCATAAGCATAACATACTTCATTTTGAAGTTTCTACAATTCAATCACCGAAAAAGAGTGTGTACAGGTAAAAAATCAAAATTGTTTTGGTACTAAAGTTAAAAAACTAAAATAGCTATTCAAAGACCAAAAAATATATAAATCTATCTATCTGTCTATACTCTCTATATATAAATTAAATTTCTCATTCACATTAAAAACTCCACAAGTAAAGAAGAAAGATGGTAATGAACATATAATCTTCAACAACAATAGCAAGTTCTTAAGCTCAACAGCTATAAACACCATACAAAGAGAAAAAAGAAAGAAAGAAAAAAAGAAGAAGAAAGCAGAGTAAAAGGAAGCTGAATGAAGCAAGAAAGCTCACATTTTGGAGGCAGATAATGAAACTTTCTTAATAGCACCTGCAATCTCTTCAGCATTTGCATCCCCATTAACGAATGTCACCAGTGGGCTCTCACCTGGAACTATGTCATCTCTTGCATAGCTTCCTGATGTCCTCAGCAGATCTTCCGACCCCTTGCTCGTCATTCCTTTCATGATTATCGTCTTGTGAGTCCCCGCTATCATCTCTTCATAGTCGGTGTCCCCTTCCTCCCCGAGAAATACGTACATGTTCGAAAGGTTTAGTCTCCATCGCACGAAAAGATACCTATAGTCGATACCAAAAGAACAAAGTTGAGGTTTATAATATCATTTCGCACAAGAAAGAGCACAAGTTTAGAACTTGTTATGGAGTGAATGAATTCATGTGTTGTTAAACCTGAGAGCCTGAGCTCTTGATGCAAGTAACGGAACAATTTGCATTCGAGTCGACGTTCGGCAATACATTGGATGGCACCGAAGCCCACGCATCCGGAGTTTTTGCCTCAAATCATCAACTTTCATTGCCTGAAAAGGACCAAAAGAAAATGAATCTGTTCATGTGATCTCAAGTAAAGCTACATATGTTGCAATTTGAAGATGTTAGCTTTGGCCTACCTTACTGGGATTCTTTATTAAGTAAGAGATGCAATGTGCATTACTTGATGTTTTATCCTCCTGAACCGGACTACGAAATTTGTCCGAATCATCTTCAGATGCATTCAGTAACTTAAGAATCGTTTTCCTCAAACCGTCGCATCCCCAACGATAATCAATATGCGTTGCGTAATCTGGATCAGGGTACAGTTTTCCATCTTCTTCATAAGAACCTGGGTAGTAAACCTCACTGCCACTGCTGCAGATCAAGGCATCAAATTCGTTTAGTTGGATCTTTCCAGACCTTAAGAATTCTATGGTCTCTGCTAATGGCATTGCTGTTGATAGAGCGAAACCCGAAGCACGTGCAACCTGAGTGTCGAGATTACCAGCTTTAATAATCTCCTGCAATATCTTGATCATCTTCTTTTCTGGAGCACCATTGCTGTCATAGCAGTCAAGTGCTATAACGATCAACCTGCGTCGTCGTCTCAAAACCGGATACTTTCCAGGGATATTCTCCAGCATTTTGTTCCCCTTTTCGGCGTCTGCCTGTTCGTTCCCCGACCTCTTTATCTTGTTCAAAACTCGCTTCACTTGGTCCTGCAAATCAGGGTCATCAATGGATGCAGCTACATCCACCGAGGTGTTCAGCGATGTTTTTTCTCCATCAACCGAAAGTCTAAGCGACATATCTTGTACATCCTTAAGAGAATCATTGAAGGATTCCTCTGTGGATATTTCATCCCCCGGGGTGATGGTCTGCCACTGCGGGTGCCTCATTCGACAGGCTGCCACTCGAGTCATGTACGTGCGGCAATGCGCTGGCCAGGAGAACAGGTGTATGTTCTTCAAACCATTTTTCCTACAGTCATTCCACAAGTTCTTCTCTGATAGTAATTTCAGCAAAGCATCAGAAATTGCTTGCTGATCATGAGGATCAACAAGAAGACCATTGTGTAGGGCCTATAATCACAAAAACAAGTTCACATGGTTACTCAGATCGAATAAGTAACAGTATGAGTTCATGATAAAGATTTGAAATCAGGTTTTCTTTACTTCATGAATGTCAACCGGTCCGCCGTTCTTAGTTGCCACCATCGGGAGCCCGTGCGCGGCAGCCTACGTTAATTCAAAGGAATCAATACAACAAAAATCATCTAATACATTTAATGATACCAGAGAAAAGAAAATCAACCTCAATCAAGGTAAGTCCGAACGGTTCGACCAGTGCTGGATTAATGAAAACACCCTAGCATCGTTTCGAAAAACAAGTTATTAATGTCACAGTTACGGTATGATTACGGATGATAATGTAGATTAATGATCTCGAATAAACCTTTGTTTTTGCTGCGAGTCGATATATGTCTGGAACATCGGATTGCTTATGATGTTTCGGATATGCAACTTGACCGTATAGATCATATTTATCGATAAACTTTATAACTGTTGTGAGCACGCTAGCATTACCAGCCGACATCTCATCAATATCTTCCCTATTTCCCATGATCAGCGTCTAATAAGGAGAAAACTCATGATTTAACAGAAGGCATTTATCATATGATTCATAACTTAAACATGTTATTGCAAAATCCTACTTACTAGATTAGCAAGTTCTCTCAATGGACGACACTCTCCAAACGCTTTCAAGAGAGTCGTTATATTCTTCTTCGGGTCTGGCCTCGACAATGCCAATATCATCGGTTTATGGGGGTTTGTAAGAAAACGCATCACCTATACAATTACATAACTTGAGAGGAGAACTAATAATGTAATGTAAGATGGTTGAATAAGAGTGGTAAAGGAGGAAAAAGATCAAAATTGGACACTTACATCAGACCATATCATCGGAATCGCTTTCGGAATGACCTGCAAAGAACTTCGGTCTTGAGTTCTTCATTAGAATGTCCAAATAAAGTAACATATTGCAAGAATCTACCATTTACATTTCTACTTATGGTTAACTTGGCAATAAAAGATAAGGAAACTATAAAACTTACCACCATCCTCGGCATGTATCGACCATGGGAAACGACTCCACGTCGAGCACGTGCACGTAATACCTTCTCGAGTTTGACATCAAATCCATCATAAAGTCCCCATTGCTCTTCGATCTCCTGTTTGGTGCTTGTAATCACAAGTTCTGCAGCATCAAGAGAAAGCTCTTCTGCTTCAATCCTCCTCATTATCTTATAGTTTGAATTAATATCTTCTTTCGATTGGCGTCCCTGCTTAAGAAGCTGTTCGAGCTTGTTTCTTCCAAGCGAGTGTCCCGTCAGCACCATCGGAACATTCAAAGCACCTGAGAGAAGAGCAGCGCTATCCCCAGCATCGGCATAATGTCCATGGATGACATATGGCCAAACAGGCTGACCACCACCAATTTGGTCACCTAAAGCTTTGGACATATTAAGAACATGAGCTAAAGCTCCATCTACAAACTCTTGGATATGGGGCCACAGTAATTCTTTTTGGAGATACTTATCCCGTGGACCGAACGGAATCCTTACGATATACGCTCCACTGCTTTCTCCGATATCACCTTCCCCATCTCCCGTTCCTGCACTTAGCATCTCCGTTGGCTCACCATAGCTCCAATCAACTTCGGGTGACAAGATCTGCCTCGTAAAAAGGTCCACCCTATATACCCCTGGCATTTGTGCTAGAGCACGAGAAAGCTCTACAACATACTTGACCTGAAAACGTTTTTTTTAAGATAGAAACACCATTTAGGATCAGATCAGATAACAAAAATCTAACTACTAACTAATATTCTTCTAACGACATCGGTCTGCACCTGTCCACCAGTGTCAGAATCACAACCAAGCTCCATGTTATCTCCCCGAACCAAACCGTGCAAGCTGCGACGAAGAACAACAAGAACATTGGAGGATTAAACATATAGTTCAGTCATTTAGGTGCATTATTGAATTAGAAAAATAGGTACCTGATAAGAATAATATAAAGTTTCCTTTCACTTTTATCTTCTTCTTCCGACCAAACTTCTGAGTTGGAAATAGTCCTCTGGAGCGGAACCTTTGAGGCCTCGCTCTGCACGGTCTCATTTTGCACCGTTTCACCCACGGCGTCCCCCTTTTCTCCTTCTGATAAGTCTTCTGACATTTCTTCTGTTACATCCATCCGTCCTAGTTCCCGCTCCAATCTCCATTTTGTTAACCGTTGAAGCTCCTCCCATTCCAACTGTACACAAAAACTTTGAGTGCACCAAGTAATAATCCCCAAATTATTTCCTTTTCAACAGAAGAAAACACCATAATTTTTATCAGATAAATGTGGCGATCGAAGAAGCTACTCACACTCTTACTTGCAAGTTCACATATACATCAAATACCAAAATGTAAAACAGATTTAAGCTTCCATAAACATCCAGATCATTATCGGAATGCAGTGAACAAAATCTGAATTCACATATTTTAACGTATTAAGATTCTTATATCAATCTTAAAAATATAATTATTGTTTAATATTATATACAGTTCATAGCCTTTTATCATGAAAATCATAAGTTCAAACATTTCATGAAAATCATGAGTTCAAACATTTCTTAGTTTTTATGTTTTTGTTTTTGCACTTTGAGTTATAAGTTCAAACATTAATTCTATTACTGCCCATATTTCATTCACATCTATCTATTTATATATATACCTCTGACTTAATTGTTATCTTTTCAAAGTATAAGGACTAAATAGATACAAATAGAAAATACACGGCTTAAAACATTATTAAAATCAAAATCAAAATCAGGTTAAAATCCTCACTCTAGCCTCCTAAGATTTCTGCTCGGTTTAAATTTGGTTTCTACTATTTAAAAAAATTTCAATCTAGTCCTCATGGTTTGCTTAAATTACCAAATTGAAAAATCACTATTAGCATCTAATAACTAAGCCAGTGCAAAAAAATTTCGGACAATTTTTTTTATATCTCTACAAAATTAAAGGGCAAAATCTTGTTTTTGTTTTTTTTTTCTCATATAATTTTTAAAATCTAATTAAATTAGTTCCCAATTGCCTCCCTCATCCCTTCTTATCTAGCAAGACTAGAGATATTCAAACGATTCAACAAAATTCTATAGATTCGTTATTTTTATTATTGTTATTATTTTGTGCGTTAATTGCAGATGAACATATAGAACAAATGGAAACTATGAAGTTTGAACTAAATTTATATTATTATTATTATGTTAATACCAATATATATAATACGACAAGGAAGGGGAAAAATGAAAAAGAAAAAAAAGCTTAGCGTTTAGAAAATCAGGTTGTGTGGACGTCGTCCATTTCTGGAAGATTCTCAGCAGAAAAAAAATGAGTAGCAACGGACGGTGCAATACAGAGTCAGACACAGTAAGAACAAAAGTTCCGAATCGTATAATCAAACGATCCGAAAGCTTCAGAATCACATCAATGGTAGCAAAAAGCAATAAAAGAACGAACAAATCCACAAATCTTCCTAACAGAGATAAAATAATCATCATAACAAAGAACAGAAAACACAGAACGATTGAAAGAAAAAAAGAGGCAGAATCGAAGAACCTGTTTCTTCTTGCGCGTGAGATGCCAAATCCGCCAACACATATTCTCGAGCCTGGAGCTCCGTTCGCGCGTATTGCGAGTGGCGACGACCTTCAGCCATGTCCGATGAAGGTCCGATTCATCGACGCCGCTGACGACTTCCTCGACGAAGTATTTCGTCGGATTGAAATGGCCTCTGTCGCTCAAATTCGCCGGCGTCGGCTTCTGTTCTTCAATGGCGGAAGCACCAGTATCCAATATCGCTTCCAAATAGCCATTTATCCACTCGTTCCCAGCCATTTCTGATCAAATCGCCTCTTGGAAGTTGAAACAAAAATTCAGTGATTCGGACAGTAGTCAAACGCCTTTAACATGCATATTCCCCCAAAATCGCTCGCGCACTCACTGAAATTTTGAAATTCCAAAATCCACTTGGAACAAATAAAAAAGTTACAACGGTTACATCCAATTATCAAATCTGTAGTTCTTGTAAAACAGTGGAATTAAAACTCGTTCTTCGTGTTGAAAGAAATGCAATGGAGATTGAAGAGTGAGAGATGAAAAAGGAAGGTCAGGTGGCAGCGGTTCCGGCGGAGGTGGAGAGGGCGAGTTGCGAGAATTTCACCACTTCCGTAGCTGTCCGCTTCTCGATGCAAACACCTGCTTTTGGCTTTCTTGTAGTAAAACTACGGTTTTGTTAATATTTATAGCTTCCATGTCCAGTGTATGACAACAATGAAAATATCACTAAAATTTAATAAGTAAATAAATTAATATTTTTATTTATTTAAATTGTATTTAATTTAAATAAATAAAAATTGATTGGTCCAAAAAATATTTTACTCTTATTAAAAACAAAAATTTGAATAAATAATTTAATAAGATTTTTTTAGAAAAAAAAAGAAGACAACATTTAGTACATTTTAAGGATGTTTTTAAATGAAATAAAATACTTATTATTAATATTATATTAACATTCATCATTTATAAATATATAAAAAATGTGTAAGAATATAACCAAAATTATTAGTTATATGTAAATCATATATTTAATCAATATCTAAATTAATCTTAATTCGTGTCAATAAATTGTTTTTGGTTAGCGTGTTTTAAATTATTTAATTATTTTAAAATATTAAAAAAGAAAATATACTATATTATTAATTATTTTAAAAAATGTGTTATATTTATAATTTAATACATAAATGGTATCATATTTAATTTTATTTATTTAAAAAAAATTATGTGCAAAATCAATTTATTTGATATAAATTTTTATATTTTTTTTAAATTGTGTTATTAAATATTACTTCCTCCAAAAAAAAAATTATCTCTCTTTTTTTATTTATTCACAAAGATGGTCGAAATAATTATAAATTATTTTTTAGATTTTATAAAACACGTATTAATTTTTGGAATTTGAATTATATTTTTCGTCAGTTAATAAATGCAGTTGGAAGCAGAATTATACCTTCCGTCTTCCACACCACTTTTATATATATTAAAAAATAAATTAGTTGATTTTAAAATTTTAATTGTAATATTTAAATTAAAGACCAATTTTTTTAAATTATTAAAAGGCTATATTATAACATTAAAATTTAAGGTTTTAGAAATTATATTAATAAAAATAATAAATAACTGTATTAAAAAATGGCTAATTTTTCCATATAAATTTGATATAAATGTGTGGGTATTAAATTTTTAAGAGAAGAAATTGAATTATTATTTATTCCATTTATATGTCAGATATTTACCCTCATTGTTCTTAATATTAAACCATTTTTTATATTAAAAAATTTATATTTGTTAATGTAAATCTACATAACTTTATTTCTCATTATATAAAAATTTATGTCTAATTATTTAAAAATCTATAAATTTTATTTATTTATTTATTATTATTATTATTATTATTATTTTAATTTATATTTGAATCTACCGTTACAAAATCTAGTAATCAAACTAGATTTTTTTTTTAAAAAATTAATTACACAAACTTATTAATTAATGAGATACATGAGTCATTTGAGTGGGTATTTAAGAGTTTTTTTTAGTGTTTTTTAAATTGCCCCATTATTTACCTAATTTGACTCCACCCTCCCTCCCGGCTCGACCTTGTCTTTACTCGGGGTCAAAGTTTCTCAATGCAACGTCGTCATGACGTCATCCCTATGTCATGACGTCATCCCAAATCAAAGGGTGTCGTCAGCCATTGCAGCTCACTTGATAATGCTATCGAGAATGGGCCCACGTATCGTTCATAATCTCAAGACATCCCAAAACGTTCATCCATCCGGGTTCTATCGAGTCATTGACTCTGTCATGTCCATGTCATGTCATTTATGAATACCGTACCTGATAGAGTGTGCAAAATCCAACCTCTGATACTCGGGCTAGCACTAATGCATTGGATTCCATCAAGACTCTACAATTAAACGTGTTCGGACAACAATAGTACCAACTTAGGTGGTCACTTGAGAAGTACTCGTGTTGCACCTCGTCTTAGAGCCAATTCGAATATAGTTCAGTAGATACAACATCAATTTCCATTCTCTCGCACCACATCAATTATTGAGCTCGGGAAAGAAAATAAAATGATGACAATTATACCTAACTAGATTCGTCGAGATTCCAGTACGATAACCATTGGATTCCATCAAGACTCTATAGCTAAACATATTCGGGTAATAGTAGTACCAACTTAGGGGGTCACTTGGAAAGTACTCGTGTTGCTCCTTGACTTAGAGCCAATTCGAACATAGTTCAATGGAAACAACATGAATTTTCGTTCTCAAAATGAACGAATATTCCGAGTACATCCATTCTTGAGCTCATGACAACTATACCTAACTAGATTCGTCGAGATTCAGGTACGATAACCGACCACTCTCGAAACAAAACAAAACCCTAAAAGAGAAAGCATTATTATTCTATTCTTGAGTTAGGCCTTGCACACGTGTAGCATTTACAACCGCTCAAAGGCCAAACCTTTTTTTTTTTTTTTTTTTTTTTTTTTTTTTTTTTTTTTTTTTTTTTTTTTTTTTTTT